GTATTCTTTCTCTTTTCCATTCATAATTTATATTTCTTTTTAACTGCACATTCCAATATTTTTTAGTAAATTTAATTTAGATAAAAATAATGTATTATAGGAAAATAATTATTATAATGAAAGAACATTAAATAATGGTTCAAGTAAAATTAAAAGTAATTATAATAAGGGTTAGAGAAACTAAAAAATAATTAAGGGAAACTGATAAAGTTGCAAAGGAATCTTAAATGGTTTGTAACACGATATAATTTATAAATTATAATGAGAAAAATGGTTAAAAAGAAAAGATTGTACCATATCAAATTTTTTCTTTTAATGTAGTAAAAAGAAGTACTAATTAACTAGGCCACTAGATTCAGACAAACTCGTAGAAGAAGAGGACATGTTTCAATGGGTTATGGTCGTATTGGAAAACACAGAAAGCAAAGAGGAGGAAGAGGAAATGCTGGTGGACAACATCATAGAAAGACTTGGTTCACTACATTCCATCCAGACTACTTTGGAAAACATGGAATGAGAGTATTCCATCTTAAGGCTAATAAATATTATTGCCCAAGCATTAATGTAGATTCATTATGGAGTCTTGTTGGTAAAGACGTTCAAGCACAATATAAAAATGCTAAAGTAGGAGAAGAAGTTCCAGTTATTGACTGTGTAAAACATGGTTATTTCAAGGTTCTTGGTAAAGGATTCCTTCCAAAACAACCAGTCATTGTCAGAGCTAGATATTTCAGTGAAAAAGCTCAACAAAAGATTAAAGCTGTTGGAGGAGCATGCGAACTTACTGCTTAATTGAGATAATTTGAAAAGAAGACTAAAAAACGTTTTATTTTGCATTTACTCAAAAAAAGAAATAATGTCTAAAACAAAAAAGAATATTTATTTAAGATTTCTAAGTAAATAAAAAATTAAAAGTTCTGAACTAAAAAACCAGAAAATATGGTTTGTATTTGTTATATAATTTATTTTCCATATTGAAAATTCACAATTCAGGAAGAGTCAGATTCAATAAGACTAAAAATTATTGTTGTTGGTGATCCTTCAAGTGGAAAGACTAGTTCTATTCATCAATTTTGTGATGGGATTTTTGATAACAATTATCAACCAACTGTTTGTATTTATTTTATTGTTTAAGAAAGAGACTAACTAATACAGATTGGTGTGGAGTTTTCATCTAAGTTTATTTCTATTGATGGAAAATCTGTTGAATTAAGACTTTGGGATATTGCAGGACAAGATCATTATGCAGGGATGAGTAGAGTATATTATAATGGTGCATTAGGTGCTATTGTTATGTGTGATGTTACAAATAAAAATTCTATTGAGGGTGCAATGAAATGGAAGGCTAATATTGATGATAGAGTTTTATTTAATAACGAAAAAATTTCTGTTTTACTTGTCGGGAATAAAACAGATTTAATTCAAGACGAAGCACAACTAAAAGCAATCCAGAATCAATTAAGAGAAATTTCAGCATCAAATGGATTTATAGGTTATATACTAACTTCAGCAAGGACCTGTCATAATTTAGAAGAGTCAATGATTCGTATTGCTAAGTTTATTATCACTAAATATGGTCCATTATTAGACAATTTTCAACCAGAAAAAAAAACCCCAAATATAGATTTGATGCAATTTCCAGAGACAAAGAAATTAGATGGTTGTTGTCATTAAATAAATTGTTATTACATGAGCTATGAAATGATGTTATAGATAAATATTATATTTTATAATATTTTAATTTATTTTTTTAATTATTTAAAATAATTTATAATAACAATAAATAATATAAAAAATATTGTTATATAAATATAAATTAAATTTTATTATTTAGATTGATAATATTATTACAATAAATCATTGTTAATGTTTAAGATAATACAATAAAATAACAGTGAAATATAATAACTTGAATTATTAGATTATTTAGAATAGAGATTATTAATTTAATACTATCTCTATTATTTATTAAGACAATAATTGTTAATAATCTTACTATGAAAAATGATAACAAAAATCAAATAGTATAATTATTTATAAAAGAATAATAATATTATTCATCTTATAATCAAATTTATATATATTTAAATATTTAAATAAAAATATTATGATAATTAAGAAAATTAAAATATAATTTTTGACAATTAAAGAATATTAATAACAAAAAGATTAGACCTACTGTTAGTTTACTGATTGGGTTGAATATTATTTGATTAGTATTATGTTTCCTTTTGCCTTTAATGATAATTCTTTAAAAAATTAAAAATTTAAATAAAAGACTATAATAATATTTTATAATTGCAACTTTATTTAATGGTTTTTTTTTCTTATAACTTATTCCATAAAAATTATTCGTTATGAAAAATTTTGAATTCTTCTGAAAAATAAAAATACTCACCTAAAATAATATTTATAGAAAATAGATAGAAAATGGGAAAGATATGAAAACAAAACCAAAAAAAGGAGTCTTTCTCTTTTGAACTTTTTTACAAATTTTTTGGATAAGAAACTTAAAAAAGTTGTTTTATCAAATAATGAACAAGAAAGCACACCACTGTTCATTATTAACTACTGAATCACCACAACTCTTTTCTACAAAAGAAGTACTTATTTCTCCAAGAATTTATCTTTTAAGTTTTCCAAGTTGGGAATTTCCTTCTCCACTAACATCATTAGAAACAATAAAAGAATAACTATTTCCAAACCATTTCAACCATCAGCGTTTAATAAATTAAATTTCTTAATTAATAAATCAAAAGCAGGAAAGATTACTCCTCAGTTAAACTACCTATAGATTTAATGTTTGACATAAATGATGTCTAAAGTATTTTTGATGTCGTGTTATATTCTAATGCACTAGTCATGAAACTATATGAATGTATTTTAAAATTATAAAAGAAACATTGAGAGTTAAAAGAAATTTTTTGTTCTCAAAACATTACTTTCACTACTGAATGGAATTCAAACACAACTTCTAACATACCTCAAAACATGATGTTGTTATTTTGCTTATATTTTATAATGAGAGTATAAAAAATTTTAACTTTTCTAAAAAAATAACCAATTAATTTATTTAATAAAGACCATTACTGGTTCAACAAAAAGCAAAGAGTTTAATTCTCCAAGGTAGTTGTGAGTTAGTGCAGCGAAATAATGAATATATCAATACTTGATATTAAAAAATTGACTTAAAAATTTTATTCTCAAACTTTTTTCAAAAATAAAAATATGAATAACAATGAATGTGTTTGAATTACTTTTTAATTTGCTTATTTTTCTTTTGACTAATTAATGGAAGGAACCTTGCTTCGAAATACAAGTTAACATTGGCTTTATGACCAATAACATCTTTATTTTTGTACTCAATCCAAACAAATAATTTCTTTCTTCTTAACAAAGAAATTTGTTTTTCATTAGAAATAGTTTTAAAGAAGTGGAAGTATTTACCTCCTTCTCCAATATCTTTATTCCATTGAACTTGAACTCTTTTATCTTCACTTGCGCCTATATAAAGGTTCATATCAAAAGTAAGAATTTGTTCATGATATCCTACAATTTGATTTATTTGAGTTTTACTCACCTTAAACTCAATAAACATTTCTTTCATACTAAAGAATTGTGGAGTTTTAACATCAAGTTCTAATGTTGGTTCTTTTTGTTCTTTTAAATACTTCCATGTTGTAGAATAATTAGATAAAGCAGCCCTTGAATATGCAGACATATCCATCATAATTTTTCCAACAACATTTTTATTTTTAAACTTTTCATTCAACATTCCTGAAAGTATTCTCAATGAAACATCACTTAAAGTATCATCTTCATTATATAACTTAATCTCTTCTTTCTCATCAGGAACAAGCAAATCATCTCTAATAACAATACCTTTCATTTTCTTAAAACTATTTACTGCATACTCTAATGACTCAATATCTTTATAAAATAATAACATATTTCTCCAATCAACTCTAACTTGTTTGCAATTATATTTCGTTCTCTTTAAGAACCTCACAATAGAGTCATATGCAATATCACTAATTTGAGTTAAATGAATAATCATTGTTTTTTCATTAAATTCATTGTCATACACAATTACGTTTATAACAAATTCATATTCTTGATCCTTAGGATGGAACATTTCTTTGTATTGTGTTAATGTATCATACACCGTTGGAACACATAATATCGGTGGACAATCAACTTTCTTTCCAAGCATTAAACGTACTTGTTTTTGAATAAGACCAGTACTTACATTAATTTTATAATACGTACACAAATATGTCAATAAAAGATTACATAATTGATTCATTGGTAATAATGACAATGTACTTTGTTCTGGATTTGTTGCAAAATCAATAACAGTATTTTCTATACTTTACTTACTTTACCACAGCATCATATAAACATAACATCCATAATGGAAATCACTTTCTTTCTCTAATGAGCTTCTTTCTTCGTGTGTCTTGATACATCTCA